TCATTAAGGAGTTGAGTTTCTGTTGACATCATGAATGGATCAATTTTAGATCACTATTAAGAATCTGAAAGCTCTGAACGTCTGTTTTGTCCTCGTATTGGACTTCTCAGCAGTGCTCAAACATGACTTTCCACGGGAGTCTCGAACGGTGTTAATGTTTAATTTCAACCAATCAAATGGCCTTGCAGTGCTCTTAAGTTTTTAATGATGATCAAACATTTATCAATTCATGAACCCAATAAAAACTCAGCAGTCTCCACAACGCTCACCAGTGACTAGCTTCGAAAGGCAATTAATCGACTTCTAGTGAGTAACAGTGTAGCACGTGAAGCAGTCACTTACTGAAGGTAATGTAAGGTGATCGCGCAATATCATGGATTGGTTGAAATTAAGCGTTAGCATCGTTATATGTTAACCCAATGGTCTAGATTTCAAGCGTTTGCACGAGATTGAATGTCATGAGTTCAAGTCCCGTGTTTGGGATCGTGGATGTTCACTGGTGAGGAGTTCTATGTTTACTCGAAACTGTCTTCCGGTGCTTTCCGTTTTTCAATGGTTACCTAACATTGATTGGCTCATGATGTTAATGAAAATACTGAATTTTTGAATGTACGTATAAATATCATTGAAACAAATAGATTCAAACATTTGAAAACTACATGTTCACTTTGACGTTTATTTAAAAAATTTAGGCAAAATGTTGGTCAATATTCGAAACATGAATTTTATTGAATTTTGATGTCTATCACGCCATCGTTTGAAGATGAATCTAGTGAACGCACTTACAAATAATGTAACCCAACAAAATGTTCTTGAAATACAGTTGTTGTATACATTTATATACCAATGTCTTGACCTAATAAAATGATGATAGAAGAATACTTAATTTCAACAAATAACCTTAAAATAGACAATATGATTTGGATATCATTTACCGGTGGTCTACATATTTAGATATTTTCGCTCTAAATTCTATAAATACCTTTTTCCGTACCATTTAGAACAAGAGAGCTATTAGAGTTTATATGACTTTGAGCTTGTGAAATCGCCGTGTATTTCATTCATTTTATAATGAACCTTTCACTATCATTTGCTTTAGTGTTTCTCAAATTTTAAAATGTTGAGATGAAATATTGTTCAGGATGAACAAATAATGATTGCCAACAGAAGTTTAATTGTCTAGTCACTTGTGTCAACCAAATTCATTTATTGAAATCATGATTCTGAATAATTTGACGTTTATTTCCTAGAGAAGGTCAGTTATAGCCTGAATACTTCGGTGGTAACATTTCAAAGTGTAATCAAAGGTATTAATTCAGCTAAGAGCATTAGTTTTCGATTGATAAGCATTCTTAATTAGTTCTAATCAACACAAAATCCAGGTCTTGAGTATCTTATCAACAATCTGAAACAAGCTAACACACGTGTATACAATTGTATTCATCCCCTCGATATGTATCAGTATGAATGTGATTTCAATCATTTGACAAGACGACATTAAACTTGTAAAAAAATGTTCCTTATCTGAAAAATATTAGGTATTCGTAATATTTCACTTGAAGCTTTTTTATTTACCTGAAATTAACCATAACAACTTAAGGAAACAACATCGTTGAACAACATTCGAAATGAATATGTTATGAAATTGATAAAAGAACATTGTTGTTGTATAGACAAATGAACAGGTCGTCGAATATTGATTAATTATTCAATCTTTGATGTAGGCCAACAAATATTTTGATGATTCATTTTTAGTAACAGTAATTCTTTGAATGTTATTAGCTTAGATAAACTGTTCTAGTGTTTAAGAATAAATAGACTAATCTAATTTATTTGTCACTAAACTAATGTAATTTGCTTTCATTTTGTGTAATAATAAATAATAAAATAATACGTCAGTGTTTATGATAAAATTTTCATAAAAACGAACGACGTAATGAATAATTCTTTTTTTTAAAAAAAGAAACATCTAGAGAAATTCAACAGTTAAAATCATGAGTCAATTGAAGCTAGACCACCATGGAAAACCTGGAAGCACTGGACGGCCACTTCGTTCTAGTATGGGACTCCTCAGCAGTACACCGTCCAGTGCTTGCATAATATTTTGCAACAATTTAGATTAACTTTTATCTTTAGATATTATTCTGAGGATAACATATTATTGTATAGTACATAAAGGGGTTCAGTATATACATAATGAGATCACTCAATACGACCAAAGTATAAGGTTGGTTTCAGTAATTTTTTTGACACCACTTGCTGTCAATAGTCAGTTATTTCTCATTCTAAACTCTTAGAATTTGTAAATGTTTTTTTATTGCAACAATAATTATTCATTAATACGTTGAACCAAATTCAGTTATTGTGAATTCACAACTGAGCATTATATACAACAATCTATAGGATCTAGTTATCAGAACAAAATAAGTTGAAAACAACCTTTCAAAGTCTTCCTTACATCATCGCTAAAATGTTTGTAATTAATTAGGATACCTTAATCAGTTGTATTTGTTCATATCAAATACATTAGTATGTACAATGAAAAGAAAAGTACTGTTGTAATCGTATTCAAACTTTCGTAATTTATTCAATCAAAAGCGTTAACTGTAGAAATGTACTTTGATAAAAATAAAAGTGGTTGTATGGTTTATTTTACATCCGTTTTTTGTTTAACCCTTAGCACACACACACATAAAAAATATTTTTGTACCCTGCAAATATTCTATTATCCAAATATAGTTTAATCTTCAGTACAGAATATATATGTATATAATACTTAAATGATTGACAAGTACACATTTGACAGAAATCTACAGTTATTGTTTAGACATTATGGTAATTTGTTTGACAGTTAATTAAGTAGAAAAATATACCGTGAATGCACTATAGAATAGTTGCTATTGGGGGGGGGGAATTTTAGACTTTCTCTTTTTTTTATATGCCAGATATTTATCATATATTTACATTCCTTTAACTACATATATCCAGTAGCGACAAGATGTAATGATAAAAAGTCTCAATTATTGATAATTATGTTCATCTGTCAATCATGTAACTAAAATTATCTCAGAATCTAATAGATTACAATTACACAAACTAAAAACATATGACACTGTAAGCCATAATTATAATTAACAGAGTAAAATTAAAATTGTCTTATTCATAGATGAAGAAGAATGTGACAAAATTATATAATTTTCATTATTGTAGATTTTGCTTACTTGATTTGAATTTTATAGTTAAAAAAAAAAAGAATTAACAGAAAGCTAATCTGGGTCCCATAAATAAATTCCATAATAAATAAATAATATATTTGTAATATCCCAATTAGATTTTTTGACGTTTTTGTCCTCTGAAGAAGTGGCTTACATTAAGTCACGAAGCGTCAGAAATTTGCTTTTTCTATTCATTGGGATATTAAAAATATATTCTCTTATTTATAACAAACTACCCAATGATCAATTTATTTAAAATTATCAAATCAAACCTTGGTAATGATATCTACAAATTCCATAATAACTTTACAGTGTTAGCTTAGTTTGAACTGTTGAAGAGCTAATGCAAATTTTTAATGAAAACATTATTCAAACTGAACTAATTATTAGAAATCTTACGAGAAAATTTTGATTCTATGTCCATTTGCTAATGACTTTGAAACAGAATAAAGAAGTTGAAGTTGAAAATTTGAGTCTAGTGAAATTCAAAGTGTTTGTCAATTTTATGAATTTATCAAATCAACAAGTCTATGCTAAATTACACTTTAACGACGAGACTTGCACATTTTAATTGTGTTCGTTAGCTATGTCATATATGGGCTGTGACTGTATCCTTTATTCTTATTTTCATTTTAACTTACAATATTACTTAGGGTAATATCAGTTCGTGATACATTTTGTTTTGTATTTAATGAATCACTTCTATTCTTTCCACTTAATATTTCTCAAAAAGACAGAAATTTTGTTCTAAATCAATCAGTAATTTGATCTTGACATTTTTAACCAGTGTCATTGAACACTTGGTAGACCCATTTTATTTGCATGGCTCAGTTATCGAATTGTTGACTTATGTCTATTTCTACATAAAATAATCAATTTAAACCTAAAATGTTCACAATAGTAAATTTTTGAAAAAGACCCAGGGGCAAAAGTTATGTCATAATCCAGTGCAACCAACAGGCTAATTATCATTTAAGCCATAGAAGGGATTTTGTGGATATCATAGTAATATAATAGTTGAATTCATGAGTCAATTGAATTTAGAACACCATGGGAAATCTGGAAGCACTAGAGTACTGGACGAAACGGCCGTCCAGTGCTTCCATATTTCAATTGACTCATAAATTCAACTAACATTTCAGTTTTATTCAGTTTATTCATTTACACTTGATTATGAACAAAATAATTAAAATGTAAACTTTTAATCTAAGTGTAAACCAATTTTTTATGGTCATTAAAGTTTGTTACGTGTGCATATCTCTCTTTAAAAACATCGAAAGAAATCAATCTTTTTATTTTTTGAAAAAAAAATAACGAAAGTCAAATTGTACTTTTTTCTTCAGCTTTACTGAAAATACAAAAAAACATACCTAATTAATGGTCATTATTTTAAAATTGTTCAATCTACTTCCTGGCGTTAATGCTTTTTTTGTTTTTTTTAATAATAAATGTTACCAATATGGCTATTTGAATTTATGTTACCGTAAATACCAAATTTTAATCTCTGTCTAAATGCTTATTTAATATGTGTAATATGACCTCAACGTTATTTATCATCTTATTATTATGTTAATGAATTTTTTCATGTGTAAACTATACTTCATGCTTAAATTCATTATACCTATAATAGAATAACACTATTGATATTTCAAAAAAACAAAACAAAACTGAATTAATCAATTTTCCCGCTTGCAAACTATGAACTATGGAACAATTCTTAAATCAACAACAGATTGTACATTGAAAAGATATAGATATATATACATATTTCATTTGTTTTGAAATGCCGTAGGCACTTGTAATGATGAATCATACTTTAATTACTATTTTTTTTATTTTGAAGACATTTTCAAAAAGGTAAAAGAATTAAAGAAACAACGTTTTATATTGAATGATTTTACCAGTTTTTACATTGAAATTTTCAAAAGATTGACTTTACATAGTGTACATTGTATAAATGTTATTCATATGGGAAATATTCATTGTTATTCCTGTAATATGATTGGTCGTTTCCTTGTAACGTATAACATCCTTGCGTATTAACATTGGCTAATCAGATGAAATGATAAACTGAATATTTTTCTATGGATAAATCTAAGTTTACATTTTAAATATTCATTTCATTTTTATTCAGTAAATGCATAAAACATTCATAACTGAACAGTAAAGCATATATATCTTTATTGGATTACTATTTAGCTGTCATATATCATGCATGTTATAAGGTAAGTCATATCGGATATATATATAACTGCTTTGCTTTTGTTTTTTTAAATTCGATGTAACTGACATATCATAACTGATAAATAACCTAGTTGTGACGTTGAAACAATTACAAGGTCAAAAGAAATATCCGCTATAATTAAACATACAATAAAGAAATGTACAAGTGGCTTGAAACTTTATCAAGATATTTCTGTTTACCGACATAACGTGGAATATTGGTTTTTCACATATTATGCTTGATTATCTTAACTAAAATTAATGAAGTACTTGTGGTACGTGTATAGTGTTCCCATTATGGGGACCTTTATATTGAGCTCATTTTCTCCTATGATATAATAATTTTACATTTTCTCCTAACAACAGTCGGTAAATAAATCCCCACTTCATTGTTTTGATGATTATTTGTCAGATATATTTTAAGTAAAAGCCACTAGATTAAAGATTTCTAACATATCTGTTTGGAAAATAAAAGGTTCTGTGTTGCATACTTTTCGTTACAATCTTATTCTTGTTCTTAAAGAGGTAAATATTATGTTAGCCATAAAATATTTTAGTAATATATTGTAAAGCTATAGTTTATTATCGTCTATAATTACGGAATAAACTCTAATAGTTTCAGTCTACAAGAACTAAGGATTGTAGACTAATGTTTTAAAATATTATAGGTAGTCAATTCATAGATGAAAGATAACTTACGCTTGGTAATAGAATGAATAAAATTATTCATGAATCTATGAGTATATCACTGTTCTTTGTCAGCATTAAAATTCAGTAAACACTGATTACTTACAACTCAATTGTTTAGTATTAGAAAAAGCTATAAATTTGTTTATTTATATTATTAAACAAACTATGGTTATCCATTTGTTAAATATTGTTACGTAATAGTTTATGGTTTTATGGTCACTTTGTGAAATAAAACGTTCCGTTGCGTAATTGTTAAGAAAAACTGAAATGTCATATGGCTGTCTATAAAACTAGTTTTATCTTAATGATTTATTTACTGTCCATTTGTAATTAAATGAATGCTTAATGAATGGTGATTTTTTATATCTTGACAAAAACGATAATCTACTAAATGATCGAGATATAAAACAATTCCAAATTACTTGTTACTAGAAAACTCTAATTGCAACTTATGTGGCGTAAAAATTGAACAATTTACAAGATAGTTTTTTTGAAAGCCTATGATAAACGTATTTTCATTCAAATTGTGAATTATTCAATGTTACATCATCATTGATAACCTAGAAGCACTGGATGGCTATTTCACCTTAGTATGGGACTCCTCAGCAGTGAACATACACAATCTCACACGTTGGATCCAAACCCAGCATCTTCAGTCTCTCACGAACGCTAAACCTCTGTGCCACTGAGTCAGCATCCAGCGATGTTTAAACGCAAACGATCCACGATATCTCAAATTGTCTCTAGTGGGTAACGTCTTCACCTTTGACACGGACCAACTCCACTAGTCACGAGGTCTCACTAGAACTCCGAGGATCGCCTATCTAAGCTAGTCACTGGTGATCACCTGATAGTTTCCAGATTGGGGTTGCGGAGATTGTTGAATTTTTATTGACATCATGAACTAATGAATGTTAGACCATGGTTAAAAACCTAGAATATACGTCTTTTCGTGTTACGTGTATGCGTTTACATCTTGTAAAGTATGAAAGTATTTCAATCGATAAACAATTTTCTATCGGGACTTATGTTTATCAACTTATTCTTTCAGTAAACAGATAAGCAAACAAACTTATAAATGAATCATATTTTTTAGTTTTTGTGTATTCTTGGACAATTTGTCAGTGATAAATTATATGTCTTAAATACTTTTTTCACATATTGTCAAATGAACGTACTCATTATTCAAGAATCCATTATTTTAGTACACAATTTTGTCTCCGCATACCTGCAAAAAATAAATTTAAATTATTTGACTTCAAGGAGTGATACAGATCCACAAACTATGAAGCTATTAGATTTTAATCGTTACGTATCATCCGTGCTCATAGACAAATTTGCTAAAAATCAAAGTTTTAAAATCATCCCAGAAAAATGACAACTGAGGATTATTGAGTCAGAAGCGGTTTGTGTTTCAAACTTTAATTATTTTTACATCTTCACACATCCGCTATCGGTTTATATATAAATATCAACCTCGAATAACAATCTAAACAAAATCAATTCAATTTTCCACATTCTGATAGTCCAAAATATATCTAACATTTGTCTAGGAGTGAAGTGATTACAATACAGTCATAATTATACGGTTTTTTACACACAAAAACGCCTAAATTTTAGCTAATGCTTATTATCATCAACATACTTACACCATATGTTAAATTTTTAATTAAAGTTTCATCCACGTCAAGTATTTATATTTAGCCAGTAAATATCTGACTGTATTTGTCACAGTAGTAAAAATAATGGGTGATGGTAAATAGTAAGAATACTGGTGTTCATTATTCCCTCACAATCTTTCTGCCATAAATCTGCATGTTAATCAAACAGAATGGGCAACATCAAGACATGAAAATAACGCAATCTTCAAAGGTAAACTTTTAAGAATGAATTTATCATCATGGACTAATTTGCTAAATATGGAATAATGTAAATATCATATATATTTGTGGAATTAATTTCATCTAAAGCAATCTACATAATTTTGCTTTTCAACTGAAAAAGAGTACAAAACAATAACACTAATAGCATGCGTCTGAGCGAAAGTCAATTTCACCATTTTGAAAGAGTTCCTGAGACAATAAATCCATCAATTTCTAAATATAAAAACGAATGACACCAAATACATTATCTTCGTGTCTATTACAGTTATCGAAATTTCATTTGAAGTTCTAGGTATAAAAAATAATATCGAATACGGACATCACAAAATAAATGATTATCTTTTGGTTGATCAATCAAACCTAATCAGTCTACCATTAATACAAACTTGTTATTAAAATTAGAGGACATCTTAGTGTTACTGTTCTGGTGTATGCTACTTACGTCGACAAAAATAAGTAGTATACAACATCGATTAGAAGTGGAATGCTTTTTAAAAGAAGGTTGAAAGACTGAATTAAAGAAAACAGTGATGGAAGTATAAAGGGATTGCGAATTAAAAAAATCATGATGACATACAAAAGACAATCAATGGAAGATATGCAAATGAAGTAATTGATATATGATCATCATATTTTACCAAAGAACTCTGTAATTTTATAGCTTAAATCTGCTAATAAAATTCAGCTAATAAATTAGTCGTCCTCACTTGAGTATTCATACGCCACACCGTTAGTGATTGATTTGACTTGAACAAAGGAAAAACTAACACATTTGTAAAACTTTATAATTACCATTTTTTTTAAAGAAAATGTGCTTTTCTCATTGTCACTATTTCGAATTTCAACTTTTATTAGTGGAGCTTTAGTTGAAAAGAAATTCTTTGAGTTTACCAAAATGTTATATTACACATTTTATATTGCTTCTGAGTAAACTTGTCATGTATAATTATAACTAATTCAGATTGTTCACTTGGTGTTGTTTTACTTGTATCTTCTCATTGTTATTTTGGACTGCATTTGATCAATCTCATGTTGGCATACTGTGCGGATTGCCTTGATATAGCCTTACTTTACAAGCTTTTCAAGCAAAGATGGATAGTGGCTAGCTGTGGAATCCAGAATGCGCGTTTCGTCCTATTTGGGACTCGTCTGCTGGATGTACCAGTCCAAAATAAGATGAAACATGCGTCAAACTGGATTCCACTGCTAACCACTATCCATCTTTGCTTAATTCAGATTGTCTTTTATTCATCCAAAAATGGATTCTGACCATATTAAATGTAGAATTAATATTCACATAATAAGAGAAAATCCTTAATCTTGAAAATTTTCGAAATTAACATTTTCAATGAATTACATATTTTATTTTTCTGGTTTATATGATATCATTTAATCGGTAATAATGGATATGAAGTAATGGACTCAAGTTTTTTTTTAACTTTCAACCTTCCTGAGTAACTATTTATAGCTGGCTGACATAAGCTAACAAGGCACTATTACATTTAGATATGATGTTCAAATAAATTCTTTTGCATGCAAAAACAGGACAAATTAATTAAGTGGAGTGTTCTCTTCTTACAAAACTGTACAGTAGCGAATATGTACATATTTTTCCATAATAGTATTTAATGATATATCAATTATGGATAATACTAATAGTAATAATAATGGTGATAGTAATCATAGGTTTGTTAAACATGGTAACTGAAAGGTAGAATGAATCAAAATACAAAAGTGCTATTCTTATTAGGTAATTAAAAATGTATTTATTGTGAACTAGAAGATTCATCAAGATAGATAAAGGTTAATGAAGGTATTGAAAGATGTAATAATAAAAAAATGTTAAAATAGTGAAAATAGCATTAGTTAATTTTGATATCTTTATTTACATCAAACTTGAAAGTTCTTTTGCAGAAAGATGGGAGTGTGCATCTATGGTCCATCTAGAGAGATTCGAATCCAAGACCTATTGGTCTCGTTCAAGAACGCTTAATTTCTAGACCCCTGAACCGGTATCCAACGATTCTAATGTCTAACTTCAAACAGCCCACGATATTGCGCGACCATCCACAATCGTCGTCACTGAGTAATTGCCCAACAGCCAACAAGGTTTGTCTCCACTGGTCACTGGTCAAAGTTAGACTCCAACACCGTTGGATACTCACTCAATGGTCTAAAGGTTAAGCGTTCTCACAAGAGATCAAAGATTCTGGGTGTACTGCTGGGACGTTCTATATTAAGACAAAACGGTAGTTAGGTTCTTCTACCTTTTCAGCGGTGGTCTAGCTTAAATCGACTCATGAATTCAACCATTAAATTATTACAACTTTCACAAACCCTCAATCAAACAAATGGAAGTGTGCCATCAAAGTATAAAGAGACAAAGTTAAATAGAACAAAATATCCATGAAAATTTGTGTAACTATTGT